TGTCTATGATTTCTTGAATAGCTAGGGCATGAGAAACATTTTTGGTTAGTTGATTTACACATTGAGCTGTATGAACCTCTTGGACTAATGTGATGGTAGAAACAGAACTGTACACGAAAAGGTCAATCTTTTATGAGTAAGGGTCATTAGTCTGTCTATAGCTCGAGGGAAGTATCGAGAACAGGACCTGCTGGAGACACGATGTCTGTTCCCATAATTAGAAAAAAAGTTCTTACAGTAATTTCCTTCACAAGGTGCAATCATCATACCAGGGCCAGAATAAGGGGACAAGTCACCCCCGATATCAATCAACAAGGTACCTTCGGGGTCGGTGCGCAAGCAGAAATAATTGGATGGGGGTGGATATTGGTCGTCATCTGACAGCAAGAGGCCATGCAAACTTGCCTTAACCTCACAAGGAGTTTTCTCGACTAGTGAGTCCAGAAATGGCTCCCAACAGTGTTGAATTTTGCCAGGTAAATAAAACAAAATACAGAGGCAAGGAAATTAAAGGCTGTTTTCAAAGGAGTGACTACAAGGTGAACCACTAAATCGAAACTGCGGAAGGAGGGAAAAGGATACACATGCTTTACAAAGCATATCTTATGCCCCCAAGTGGTCTGTAAACTCAATGACAAAAACCCTGAGTTCCACACTATGTGTGTGTATCTCATCAGAAAGCACTACAGTGTAAACCTCTGTGGACTGATTAAATGAGTCTTTCCCATAACTAGAACTCCAAATGTCGCAAACTCATCTAATTTACAAAACAAAATAAATAAATAAACAAAAAATTTTAAAAACAGTTTTCTAAAGATCTTGAAAGAAAAATAAATCTACACTTGAAATGTCTTAGCTCTAAAGAGCAGGTAATTGGGTTCCCGTGATACCTCCATATAAACAAAGATAAACTGCTGGACATTAATCAAAGGCAAACCATGACACTAGAAATTCAACTTAACCACAAACAATGCGCTTCATATGCGAAAATAAAGCCTAATACTTACTACTAGGATTCCCATCAAAGGACAATCTGTCCCACAGAATCAAAACTGCATTTTCAGGCTCTTGTTCAGCAAATGCTAACTAGTTAAATAAATTGGAACTTTTACACTACTAACTACAGCATATCACATTAAAATAATTCCAGGGGCGCCTGGGTGGCTCAGTTGGTTAAGTGTCCCACTTCGGCTCAGGTCATGATCTCACGGTTAGTGGGTTTGGAACCCACATAGGGCTCTGAGCTCTCAGCACCTGTTTAAGATTCTGTGTCTCCCTCTCTCTGCCCCTCCCTCACTCAAACTCTGTCCCTCTGTCTCTCAAAAATAAACATTAAAAAAAATTAAAATAATTCCAGAAGCTATCTGACCATCTGCTAAAGTACTTAGTATAGGGGTGCGTGGGTGGCTCAGTCGATTAAGCATCTGACTTCAGCTCAGGTCGTGATCTGGAAGCTCATGAGTTGGGAGCCCCACGTTGGGCTCTATGCTGACAGCCTTGAGCCTCCTTCGGATTCTGTGTCTGCCTGTCTCTCTGTCCCTCCCCTGCTCACTCACTCACTCTCTCTCTCAAAAATAAACATTAAAAACTAAATTAATTAATTAATTAATACATAAATATATAAAATATTTAGTATATATAAATCACTGAAAGTCACTCATTTCCTCTGCTTTTATTTATTTCCAAATTTAAACAATATCAGAAAATCCTAGAGAAGACAAAACATACTCTCATTAGGTTTGGTGAATATACAGATTATCAATATCACTTATACTTAAATTTTTCCAACTATTATTTTCCTATGGCCCAATAAACTGTCTAGTCAGGTCAGTTCAGTGAAATAAAGAAAAATTGAGTCCCGGCAGCATGTTAGGAAGAAAAAGAGTTAAAAGAAGGTTTGGTTCCCAGGCCGTGTTCCTACTCAAGGCACCAAACAGAATAGACTATTAGAAAAGAATTAAAATAGCTACGTTATCTGTAACATAAGAATACTAGATACTACTAAAGTTTTCTTTCTTCTCCAAAAACTCTATTCCTAACCTAGTGCTTTGGACTTCCTTCTTTCAAGGGTCTTTTTGAAAGGGAGTGCTAAAAGAGGTAATCTTTCCATTCATAAGACTATTGGTGTCTTTCTTTGGATTACAATTAACAGAAAAGCCTAGGAAAAAAAAAAACCAAAGTCGAGTATTTTTAAATCAGAAAATAACTAGGCCAACTAAGCTAATTACTGGTGACCCTCTGTCACATGCAGCTCGTTCACACTCACCCTTCTCACACCCTTCTCCTTCAGCTCCTCTCCCTCCAAACCTCAGACCTCAATCCCCCTGAAGGACTCTCAGGTTCCTGAAACCAAACACAACTTATTCTGGAAAACAGGAACTAACAGTTTGCCAATTAGGGTAAGAGGTTCTTTCTTATCTTTATATCCTCATCACCGAATTTAGTGTCTAGTACATGGCAGACACCTAATTTTACTTTTCTATATGACTTATTACACCAGTGATTCACACCAGTGATTTCTTTTTAGAAATGCAAAATTTCAGGTCCCACCCAGACCACTGAATCAAAAACGGTGGTAGGGGGACCCAGCACTCAGTTTTAAAAAGCCCTCCAGGTAAGATTTTGATGCACACTCAAGTTTGAGGGCCACTTTTAAATATGCCAGGAAACCAACTTTCTGTTCATTACTGCCAGTGGCAAACAAACAAACAAAATGCTGATTTTTCCCAGCGGCCACCAGTTACAAGTGCTTGGGCCCACATGATGCTGTCGGCCACTTAATTTCTGTCTCCAGCCTGCACACAAGATGAACTTCAGAGTCAAATAACTGAGACTAACTTACGGTTCGTAGATTTAACAGCTCTGTTAAATCTTCTAGCTACACTTAATTAAACACATCTGTAAAGTCAGAATAGTATTAAATACCTACATGAATTAGACATCACTCACAGAAATGTGTCTGGCACACAGAAGACCTCTAATAAATGTAACATCTTTTCCCTCTCTTCCTCCCACCTGTACCAAGTCTCTCTACCTCATACAGGCAGTGAGAAGAGCAGCACTCCGGCTCTCTGCTGACAAGTGTCACCAACGCCTCCTATACAGAAAATCTCCCTAATGAAGTTTCTCTTCTGGAAAATGAAGGGAAATGAAGTATTAAGAGTCCTCCAGAACCAGCCTGGGTGGCTCAGATCTCACGGTTCAGGAGTTTGAGCCCCACATCGAGCCGCACTGATAGTGCAAAGCCTTCTGGGGATTCTCTCTCTCTCTCTCTCTCTGCCCCTCCTCAGTCTGTCTCCCTCTCAAAATGAATAAATTAATTTAAAAAAGAGAGTCCTACAGAACGATATGCAGGACAGCAATTCCAAAAAGGTAGTCCAAAAACTAGTAGAAATAGCAAATCACATAAAAATGTGCACTTTCATTTTAAAAAAATATTAAATAGAACATTGGCAACTTTCACTTAAGTAGTTAAAATAAATCACCAATAGTAAATGGCCATAAATGTGACAATGGGGCTGGGTGGAGGGGGTGGTTAGCATTAGAAAATGCAAGAGAACTGGAATACATACATGACCCATATTAAAGTGGTCCAGCCATTCAAATCTCAATTCCCTAGACTGTCTGGAGCAACATCAATGTCAAATCTTTGTCCCAATATTGTCACTCTGTATGTTCTGATTTTTGGTTTAAAAAAGAATGTGGTCACCAGGAGAACAACGTCATTGAGACCTAAAAAGTGGAGTGCCTTACTTTTTTTTTTTTTTTTTTTTATGTCGAGAATTTTGAGGGGATTCTACCATAACCAAGTCCCAGTTTCGGCTCCTCACTCCCTCTAAACCTAACATTAAGTCTTCTACTGGAATGGGTGACCCCTTGACTACTAGCCATTTGCATAGGAAAGAAAGTAGACCAGTGACTGTGTTAAGTCATTATGCCGAATTATTTGTCACAGTCACCAGGCTGGAAGCGTTAGTTCAATTGGCATCTTCAGCTTTAATTCTCACTCCACTCCCTGCCATCAGAGATGGGACAGCCGTCTACTTTTGCTATTCTGTTAAGAATAGGACCCAAGCGGGGCGCCTGGGTGTCTCAGTCGGTTGGGCGTCCGACTTCGGCTCAGGTCACGATCTCACGGTTCGTGGGTTCGAGCCCCACATCGGGCTCAGTGCTGACTGCCAGCTCGGAGCCTGGAGCCTGTTTGAGATTCTGTGTCTCCCTCTCTTTGACCCTCCCCGGCTCATGCTGTCTCTCTCTCTCTCTCTCTCAGAAATAAAAACATTAAAAAAAAAAATAGGACCCAAGCGAAATTTAAGCGTTTGCACCTTTTAAGCGGGCTCTTACCCCCCCCCGCCACCCCTCCCCCCGAGAACTCGGAAAAACGAAAGCCAGCCCTAAGCTGAAGGGCACTATGCTGGCCATAATAAAACCACAAACTTAGCGCCTTGTCCTCCGGGACCTTGAATTCCGGCACCGGCTCCTCGAGGCACCAACACAACAACTTCTATCCCCCGCAGAGCAGAGTAGCGCGATGGTCCCTCAACTTTTTACAGTCAACACTGTCCTTCCCGCTCCACGCCGCCAGACACACTCCCCCTCCTCCCGGAACTCCAAAACGAAAGAAGCCTCCTCCTGGGCCACCTTTACCGCCTCCTCCCAGCACCCCTGACCGAGTGTCCCCAGGCGCCAGGCGAGGGTCCCAAGCGAGGCCGGGGCCCGACGGCTGCTCCAGTCCCCGCGTCCCAGGACACGCCCGAAGTCGCTGCCGCGCGCCCCGGCCCCCTAGACCCCCTCCGGCCCCGCTCCTGCCTCCAAACCCGGAACCCGGCGCCGGCCGCCGCCCCGGGGCGGGCTCCAGGCCCAGCCGGCCCGCGCGGAGCCCCCGGCTCCCGCCCCGCGGCCCGGGCCGCCGGCTGACTCGCGCCGGGACGCCGGCGGGGAAGCGCCAGGCGGCCTGGCCCGGGCGCCCGCTCCCCCGGCCAGAGCAGGACAGGACTCACCTTCGTACTGCAGGTCCACCAGGACCAACAGCAGGGGGAACACCGAGCCCAGCCGGCTGGTCACGGAGCCGGGGGCCACCATGTCCGAGGGCGCTGGCAGTGAGGAGGAGAGACGGCGCGGGGCCCAGCAGCCCCGCCGGCGCTCCCGGTGCAGCTGCGCCCGCTCGCCGTCGCCTCTCGCTCAGGCCTAAGCGGCAGCTGGCGCCCAGCGGAGGAAGGCAGCGGTGGGCGGGACCCGGGCGACGCTACTCCCCGAGCGCCGCCGCCGCCCAATCGCCTGCCCCCTGGCCCCGCGCCTGCTGGGCTCGCCGGGATCGTGGTTCGCGCTGATAGGCTGCGGCGGCCGCCGCCCCGCCCCATCTCTGATAGGACAACGTGGAGGCACGAGACGAGGCAGCGTCCGCTGGTCGTGGAGCTGTCAGGGAGCTCCAAACGGCCGCGGCCGGCGGGAGGGAGGCGGCCCGGGCGGCTGTGCGGCGGCCGCCGAGTCCGCATGCGCAGGCCGCGGAAGAGGTTTCGGGTCTTCCCTGGGGCCGGAGGTTAGCGTGGCGGAGGTTTTCCGCTGTGCTGTTTGGAAAGCGAGGTGAAGCCGCCGCGCCCGCAGTGAGAAGGCCGAGCCTGGTCCCCGGAAGTCCGAGCGCCTGGAGCGGAGGTCTCGGCCCGGCCCGGCCATCCGCGGGGCTCCCGGAGCCTGCCTCCTCGGGCCGAGCGTCCGGGAACGGGTACGGACTCCACTGAAGAGCGCGCGAGAAACGGCCCGCGACCCAGGCTCGGTGGGGGAGGGTGAGCAGATGGAGCCGGGAGCTTCTCAGGGACAGCCGGGCGGATGCACGTCGGTGACCCGCGAGACCGGTCTGCAAGCCCGGGAACGCCCTCCCCACCACTGGCCGGCCCAGAAAAGAGAGCAATTCTGGAAGATTCTGTGGAAAAGCAACCAGGGAGGCACAGCCGCTAAGACAGCAAGGGGGTCTGGAGAGTGTAGCCAAGGTCAACCATCAGAGGGGTGAGGGAGGGAGACCTGTTAGAACGGATCTTGCATCATGTCCTCATCAGAGGAGACTCAACAAGAGAGATAGGGACTTGAACCAGATAAGATTCAAGTTACTCACTTGAGCGTTATAAGTTTGTTCAAAGCCATTTTCTCTGGAGTCCCAAATACAATCCAGCTCGCAAGCTGCACACCAGCGATGCTTTAGGCGGAGTTAAACAGTAATGCTATAATACGTTTATTGCCAAGCATAAAGTTATTACTTTACCAAGAAGTATAGAAATGAATATTAAATAAATAAAACTTCATGTAATATTTATAATAAATAGATGAATCTTTGGACAGTTGGGATGAATTAATATTGATTTTTTAAAATAGCTCTATGTCCACCCCCATGTTCGTTGCACCACTACTTACAACAGCCAAGACATGGAAACAACCTAAGCACCATTAACAGATGAATTAATGGATAAAGAAAATGTGGCATGCCTGCATGACTATTATGTAGCCATAAAAAAGGAAATGCTGCCGTTGGCGGCAACATAGATGGACCTTGTGAGCATTATGCTAAGTGAAGTAAGGCAAAGAAAAATAAATACTATTTGATCTTATATGTGGAATTGAAAAAACTCATACAGAGAAAAATTCGTGGTTGTCAAAGGTGGTCAAATGTTTCAAACATCCAGTTTCAAGATAAGTCCTGTAAATATAATGTACAACATGGAGAGTACAGTTAACAAGAATACTGTATTTGAAAAAGTAATAATACTGTATTGTATATATGAAAGTTGGTACCAGAGCAGATGTTAAAAGTTCTCATCACAAGAAAAAACTTGTAACTGGGGATGGATAGTCACTAAACTTATAATCATTTTGTAATATGTATTTATATCAAATCATTGTATGCCTGCAACAAATACAATGTTATATGTCAATTATAGCTCAATAAAAAATGTAAAAATTGGGAAAGTTCTATGTCTTTTGATTATATGAAATTAATGATAAAATGTTTTATATATTATGGGTAAACTCTTCAAAACAAACTTTCTAAATTAAGTGAATTCTAATAGTCAATGTCTTTATAAAGCTTTCTTGTGAAATTCTAATAAAACAAATCATAAGGACTTTATTATTTCCCAGATTTTATATCTAAATTATGGATTTAGATACCTAAATATAGATACCTAAATATTTAATATACTTAAAGATATTAATATCTATCTCATATCTAAATTATATCCTGACATCTAAATCCAAGCATGGAAACAATTGCATTAAATGTGAATCATAAACACAATAATTAAAGGACAGATAATGTCAAAATGGATAATGAGAGAAATAACATGACTCAGTTATAAGCTGTCTACACGGTATGAGGAACCTCCTATTGTGGTCATTTGATTTCAACAAAGCTGCCAAGACAATTCAATTGGGCAAAGGTAGTCACTTCAAGAAATGATACTAGGATAACTGGATATCCACGTACAGAAGAATGGAGTTGGACCCTTTCTCTACTTAGACCATTCACAAAAACTAGCTCAAGTTGGATCATAGACCGCAGTATAAAATCCAGAACTATAAAACTCCTGGAAGAAAATAGTAGTAAATCTTCATGTTCTTAGGTTAAGACTTCATAGATACAACACCAAAAACACAAGCACAGAGGAATAAAGTGGATTTCATAAAAATTTAGATTTTTTTTGTGCTTCAAAGGATGCCATCAAGAAAATGAAAAGACAATACACAAGTTGGAAGAAAAAATGCAAATTAGTGATTTGATAAGGGAATTTTATCTATCTTTTTGCAACTCAAGAATAGACAATCGAGCAAAGAATCTGGGCATTTTTCAAAAGAATATATGTAAATGGCCAATAAGTACAGTCTCCCATTAGGGAAACACAATTCAAAACCACAATGAGGTACCACTTCATACTTTATAGAATGGCTATATCCAAAATGAACAATAGCAAGAGTTGGTGAGGTTATGGAGAAATGGAAATTTTTCAAATACTGCTATTTGGAATGTAAAATGGCATAGCCACTTTAGAAAACAAACATCAAAATGTTAAGTGTAGACTTAACCTTATGACCCAGCAATTCCATTTCTAGATATATAGTTAAGAAGATTGAAAACATGTTCACACAAAGTCTTGTCACATGGACATTCCTAACTATTATATAATCAAAAGTAGAAACAGTTCAGATGACTATCTTTTTTTTTTATATATAAGGAAGATCCCATTTAATTTTTTTAATGTTTTTTTTATTTCTGTGAGAGAGAGGCCGTGAGCAGGGGAGGGTCAGAGAAAGAGGGAGACACAGAATCTGAAGCAGGCTCCAGGCTCTGAGCTAGCTGTCAGCACAGAGCCAGACGTGTGGCTCAAACCCATGAACCACAAGATCATGACCTGAGATACCTAACCGACTGAGCCACCCAGGCGCCCCAGTTCAGGTGCTTATCAACAAGAGAGTGGATAAACTATGCTAAATCCATTCAATAAAATATTATTTGCCTATATAAAAGGAATAAAGTACTGATACATGTTACAACATGAATGAACTTTGAAGAAGATTATGCCAAGTGAAAGATGCTGGTCACAAATTGTAGGCTTCCATTTATGTGAAATGACCAGGATGGGTAAATCCATACAGGCAAAAACCTTAGTGGTACCAGGGGTTGGGGATAAAGAATATGGAGTGACTATTAACATGGATAGGGTTTCTTTTGAAGGTGATGAAAATATTCTAATATTAGGTAGTGGTGATGGTTGCACATATCCATGAATATACTGAAAAATATTTAATTGTACACATTTATTTTTTTATTTTTCAGAGAGAGCACACATGAGCAGGAGAGAAGGGCAGAGGGAAAGAGAGAAGATATCTTAAGCAGGCTCCTTGCGGAGCCAGGCTCAATTCCATGACCCTGGGATCATGACCTGAGCCTAAATCGAGAGTCAGATGCTTAACCAACTGAGCCACCCAGGCTCCCCTAACTGTACACTTTAAATGGGTAAATTCTATCAATTATAACTCGATAGAGTTTAAAAAAAAAAAAAAAGAAAAGGGAAGGGAAGGAAAAAATATTTATCATGGAGATACTAAACAAAAGAAAGACAGCTGGGGTGAGTATTTAAGGAGTCAAACCTATAGAAACAAAGTAGAATGGTGGTTCCCAGGGGTTTGAGGGAGACAGAATGGGGAGCTGTTGTTTCAGTTTTACATGATGGACAAATTCTATTGCACAGTAATTGCAAATCTACTTAACACTACTGAACTGTACACTTACAAGTGGTTACTATGGGGTGCTTGTGTGACTCAGTCAATTGGGCATTAGGCTCTTGGTTTCAGCTCAGGTCATGAACTTATGGTTTGTGGGATAGAGTTCCGCATTTGGCTCTGCACTGACAGCTTAGAGTCTGCTTGGGTTTCTCTTTCTCCCTTTCTCTCTGCCTCCTCCCCACCTCCAAAATAAATAAATAAATAAACTTTTTTTTTTTTTTAAGTGGTTAGGGGCATCTGGGTGGCTCAGTCAGTTAAGAATCCAACTCTTGATTTCAGCTCAGGTCATGATCTCATGGTTTATGAAATCAAGCCCCTTGTCAGGCTCTGCGCTGTCAATAAAGGATTCTCTCTCTGCCCCTCCCCTGCTCATGTTCTCTCTCTCTCTAACCTCCAGCTCCACGAGCAACCTGAAAAGGCTTCCTCTCTGTCTGCATATGCGGCCTCGTGTGTTTGAGCCCCTCATTAGGCTCTGTGCTGGCAGGCAGAGCCTGTTTGGGATTCTCTCTCTCTCCCCTCCCTCTCTGCTCCTCCCGCACTTATGCTATTTATCTGTCTCTCTCAAAATAAAAATAGCTTTAAAAAAGCGGTTAATGGGGGCGCCTGGGTGGCTTAGTCGGTTAAGCGTCCGACTTTCGCTTAGGTCATGATCTCGCGGTTCGTGGGTTCGAGCCCCGCGTCGGGCTCTGTGCTGACTGCCAGCTCAGAGCCTGGAGCCTGTTTCAGTCTGTGACTCCCTCTCTCTCTGACCCTCCCCTGCTCAAGCTGTCTCTCTCTCTCTCCTAGAAATAAATAAAACATTAAAAAATAAATAAATAAATAAAAAATAAAAAAGCAGTTAATGTGGTTGATTTTGCTATACATTTTTTACCACAATTTTTAAAATGTACTAAGTCTCAGCATGGCTATGGGAAAACACATTGAAAAAAGAAAATGCTGGATGACTGATT